TTGTTAGTGGCACAGGGCATGGTCCTCACTACTACGGTTTGACTCTAACGTCCGCCCTCACCCTGTTCATGTCATCATGGTGGGGCAGGGTGAGGGCGCCAGGTGAGGCGATGTTCAGCCCTTGTCGGCCAGACAAGCGAGGCCAGCCCTTGGTCGTTGGATGGGGCGGAGCCCGCCCTCGGACATCGGGCGGGGCGGAGCTAGCTCCCAGACGTCGGGCGGGGCGAAGTCTAGTCCTCGGGGGTCAGACGAGGCGGAGTTTGGCCCTCGGGGGTCGGGCGAGGCGGAGTCTGGCCCCCGGGGGTTGAGCGAGGTGGAGTTTGGCCCCCGGGGGTCGAGCGAGGCGGAGCCTGGCCCTTGAGGGTTGGGCGAGGTGGAATCGATCCCCCCTGGTCTTGGGCGAGAGGCGTCGTCGCGCTCCTGTCCGAACGGAAGTGTCAACGATGTTTATCAATTCTCCCTCATAGGGTACCCCAGTATTAGTTCCCCGACAACCGGTGGCTCAAATCCATTGCAAACAACCTCCCGAATGCCAGGATGAAGACCTATAAGATAGGCTCTCATCAAGTGCTTCCATTTGCGATCATGGTTAGTCATAGACATAGAAGAATAGTTAAAGGATATGGCGGCATATTTGTTGTCATCATTCTTCTTGCCCTTTCCTTTCTTGTTCTTCTTGCTATGCACTCGGTAGGACTCATCATCATCACCATCTTCGGAGCTGCTAGATAACTCACTTGAAGATGCATTGGAGGCTTTTGCTTCTTGTTCCTTCTTCTTTCTTGCTTCTCATCTTTTTCTTCTAGCTTCTCTCTTGATTCTTCTTTCTTCTTTTCTTGCTTTCTTCTCTTCTAACCGCTGCTGCTCCTTCTTCTTTTTCTTTCATACTTCTCTTTTCTCTTTTCTAGCTGCTCTTTTTCTTCTTCTTTCTTCTTCATTTTGAGCTTTTTTGGCATCGGTTGCCTCCAGCTGTGGGAGCGTGGAGTTGCTCGCTGTAGAGGCGCTAAGCTCACTGCTGTCGGTGTAATTCAGCCCAACGTCCTCTGGATCGGCGTTGATGGGCTTCACGACACCGGATCCACCCCCGGGCTCCATACCTCACGCGGTGAAGCGCACACAAGGTAACCTCGCTCCGATACCACTTGAAGGATCTCTAATACGCCTAGAGGGGGGTGAATAGGCCTATAACAATTCAACTCAAACCAAAGTCAAATTCACCAGCGGCACTGCCACTATTTGAGCACAGTAATGGCACACCTGTTGGAGAGATTAGTTCACAGTTTAAAATCTACCCAACGAAATTTAGATTGGGTAAATTTCTTAGCTTCCTACAGGGTGGTAGATCATAGATTGATAGCTGAAAGTGGGGGAACACCATATACAAGTAGATCGGCCTCAATCCTAGAAATCACCTCAAAAACAACAAGAACACAAGTGTAGCAACACAAGCACAGGATGACACAAGGATTTATCCCATGGTTCAGCTCACCACCAAGGCTTGCCTAAGTCCACGTTGTTGAGGTATACCACTAAGGCTTAGGGATTTGCAACCCTACCTCGTTCTCAAGTCAAGAGAGTGAACTCTTGAGATGAGGGGTGATTTTACTTGCTGCAAGAGGTGGTTACAAACTTCCCGGGGCTACCACACAAGTTGGCAAGCTCACTGAGCGACGCTCTAGCCGGCTAGGAGCCAAGCTCCAAGAGTAACAAACACAATCGTCGGCCAAAATGTGAACCAAGTGCTCTTTAGAGTTTGGAATCAATGGAGATGCTCTCTTATCAAGTTTTGGACCCTTATCCCTCAAGGATTGATGGGGAAATCAATGGATTTGCTTGGGGCTTGAGGTCAACAATGGAGTGAGAGAGAGAGATCCTGCTCTATTTTGAGTGTGCTAAAGTGAGGAAGAAGGGAGCAGGTTGGTTTGTTACCGTTGGGAAAGAAAGGGAAAGGTATATATACCCCCAGGTCGGGCGAGATGAGGTCCGTAGCCTTGAGGTCGGGCGAGATGAGGCCGCCACCAAAGGGTCAGGCGAGCCAGAGCCCGCGACCTTAGGGTCGGGCGAGATGGAGCCCGCGACCAAAGGGTCGGGCGTGCCAGAGCCCATGACCTTGGGGTTGGGCGAGACGAAGCCCACGACCAAAGGGTCGGGCGAGGCGGAGCCCGCGACCTTGGGGTCGAGCGAGACAGAGCCCACGACCAAAGGGTCGAGCGAGACAGAGCCTACGACCTTAGGGTCGGGCGAGACGGAGCCCGCGACCAAAGGGTCAGGCGAACCGAAGCCCGCACCCAAGGGGTCGGGTGAGTCGGAGCTCGCACCCAAGGGGTCGGGCGAACCGGAGCTCGCACCCAAAGGGTCGGGCGAGTCAGAGCTAGCACTCCACAAGACAGTAAGAATAATAGTGAAGTGTAGACTGTCTTGGCTATGAATCTGAGGATGCATGTGGTTGTTTGAGCACTTGGTAGCATAGATTAGCTTAAGCATTGTGCCCCCCTTTATAGTACAGCTTTTCCTATACTCAAATTCAATATATAAAAGAATTTAAACCTCCTTTGAGTTTGAAGCCATCTATATTTGTAGTTGGAGGCTCCTCCGTTTCGTGTGGCATCCTCGAATATAAATTCCCTGCTTGTCATCTCGATAAATCTCATTAGTTCTCTAATTGCGAGGTCATTATCACCAAAACCCACAATAAAGGCTTCATTGCACTTTTAGTATCTACGGGGACCAAAGGTAGCTCTTTCCCAACCATACGTATTTTCTAGATACGTGGATCCTAATTTCCATTCTCTTTGTATTTGCGGGGACAAAAGGTAGCTCTTTCCCCACAATTGTTTTTATTATGTCTTCCTATCTTCGGGTTCCAAAGGTTCTATGTGGTCATGTCGACTCTAAAACAACCAATTGAACTAGCCCTGACTATAGGAGGAATAGAATCAATGGGCTGATTATATAGGATACATAAGAGTAGAAAACCCCGCATTGGTAGGCAATGTGAAATTATTCCTACTTACTCTAACATCCCCTCATAGTCACAATGGGAGCGCCACAAACGATGAAACTAGAAAATAAGCCGACAAGCTAATGCACAATCAGCTGATCAAACCAAGTACATGCGAGGTGGGATGACGATAGAAGAAGCCAGCAGAGGTGTCCCTATCTATGCTGGTGATGATGACCCAGCGATGAAGACGCGCGAATAGGCAACTAGGAAACGACACGTGGAGTCCCCTTAGCAAGTGTGACTAACCTAACTGTACCGTCAAAGTAGAGGTTGGTGTAGTCAATGTAGATGTTGGAGTAGCGCGCATGGGGTTGATAGACGGTAGGTGTTCAACCCCAATCAATGATCGGACAAACCAAAAGATATAAGCAGCAATAATCAAAATCGGTGGCGGCAGAGGACGCCTCGGCCAGATGTCCTACAATGATGAAAGCGAAGCCCAGCGTTGGGCTCCCTACTCATCTCAAATGGCGAAGAAGGCACGGGTATGCAAGGAGATCCTATCACAGAGCATAGGTGGGTCGAGACCAGATCCGTCGGCCATAGGACGCCTAGTGGACACGCTGAAGGTCGGCGTGGGTTGATGGTGGTTGAGGAGGCATGCCTGCCACCACGGCGACACGAGGACGATGCGCAACCCGACAGCGTAGATCTGGACGGAGGAGGTCAGCGACACGAGGAAGTAGGCAATCTGCTACCACGACCGATGCTAGAACGACGAGAAGGGAAGCAAATCAATAGGATCTACCACCTAAACAAGGACGCCGTCTTCGGCAAAGATCGATCTCCCTAGGAGCACTCAGTGCAAAAGCGATATCTTGTGCCCTAGATCAAAACTTAAACTCGTTGAACTCATGATACAATGTAGGAGGAATACAATGATCATATATGGTACATAGGACTAATATCGATAGATCCCTCTTGGGCAAGGTGCTTACCCTCTCCATTTAGTCCCCAAACAATGCTCGATTTATTGTAAGCCATTTCTTATGTAGCATGTCCACAACAATTCGCAAAATAAAAAAGGCCATGATTTGCGGGAAAAAGTGCGTGGACATGTACGAGAGCATCTCCAGGAGTAGGAGAAAACTCCAACCCAAAAACTAGTTATTGAGGGATACAAAACATGTTTTGGGATTTTGAAGGTCTTCTCTCCAGCAGAACGAGAAAATCCAATCACCAATGAGAAAAATAGTGGATTAGTGGAGAAGAGGTCTCCCTTTTATTTGATGGGTGGGAGGCTATGATTCGAGGGATTGAGAAAATTATTCTCATTGGGGTTAAGTTTGGGGAACTGCTGGAGTTACATGATCTCTAAAATAACAGTTTTTTCTTATTGGAGTTAGGAAAGGGAGACTGCTGAAGATGCTATGACAATGCGCAAATTACCCTATACTGTAGACTGTAGTTACCGAAAAAAAAAGCAGTACAATATTCATGAGAAATAAGCAAAGCCATCTCCTTTCTTCTGAACAACGCGCCCTTGTACAACACAACGCGCCCGTTGACTGACTTTGCTCGCATCTCCTGTATTCGGTTCGGACATCTCCTGGAAATTTCTGATCTGAATCCCCTGCTTGGAGCTTCGCAGCAACACCGTGCTCACCTGAGGTGAAAAGGCACCCATCTTTCTGTTCCGCGTCTTCGTCTAGAGTCAAGTCAGCTCACTTTCCTCGCCTCGATCCAGATCCCGTCGGGTTGGTTTATATATAGTCTTCAAAGCCCAGCAGCTCAAGCTTCATCCCGCGTCCCGCCAGCACCAGCAATCTCAAGATTCTCAGCTCGACAGCCCCTGTGGTTCTTCACTTCTTCAGTCTCTCCCCAGCTTGGATCCCTCCAGTGTTCTCCAGGTCGGTGCTTATTTTCGATTGATTTCAGAACTTTCAAGTTCGCGCAAAATCTGACTTGTATTTCGATAATTTGTTGAGCAATCTCCTCATGGTAATAATTCCTGAAGAGCTCTCCTGTACAGGTACAGCTACTTGAATCGTCAGAAATGGCCACTGGCGCCAGCGGAGATGGCAAGCCTAGTCTTCTGAGTACTTTACCGAAGCAACTACCAGCGGATTTTCTCAAAGAAATTACGGATGGGTTCTCTGCTGGCCGAAAACTGGGTCAAGGTGCATTTGGAACTGTTTACAAGGTATGGCTAGGCTCAAACGCTCTCCTTTTTTTTAAAAAAAAAACAAAGTTCAATAAAAGCACAACGATTTAGAGTATGAGAGGTCAAACTGACAGGGATTCCTGCAAGATGGGCAAGCCATTGCTGTGAAGAAGCTCTCAGATAATTCCCCGGTGGCAACTGAAAAACAGTTCAAGAATGAGGTTGGGAACCTTATGGCCATCCAGCATGAGAATATAGTGAGGTTGTATGGCTACTGCCATGAAGCGCAGAAGAAAGTGATAGAGCACAATGGAAGATACATTCTTGTGGATGTGGTTGAGAGCATGCTCTGCTACGAATACGCGCCCAATGGAAACCTCGACAAGTGGATTTTTGGTATGAGGATGCACTATCCAACAGACCTGTTTTGTCATTAATATAGGAAAGACATTCGCTCTTCTGTATGTTACCTGACCCATGTTCTCATTCTTCAGATATGTCTTCTAGGCCTCCTTGGGCCACATGCTTCAAAATAATCAAGGGCATCTGCCAGGGTTTATATTTCCTACATAAGGGAACAGATAGGCCTATTGTTCATCTGGACCTTCAGCCTGCCAACATATTGTTGGATGATAACATGGTGCCAAAAATTGCGGATTTCGGCCTGTCAAGACTCTTTGGTGAAGAACAAACCCGAATAAACACAATAAATGTTGTGGGAGCAAAGTAAGTCCAATAACAATTCTGTCAGACCATTGTTTTGTTTCCTTATTGCTTTGCGTTTGTGTCTCCCATGATCTTTGTAACAACATTGATGTTCATGCTTTCCAGAGGGTATATGGCTCCAGAATATCTGTACAGAGGAGAAATCTCAACCCGGTCTGACATATACAGCTTAGGCGTACTAATCATGGAGATCACAACTGGACAGAAGAACTCTTCGCATGACAAAGACATGTCTGGAAGGGACTTTGTAGATCAGGCAAGGGCCACATATATATTACTAGTGCATTTGAAGACCGAAATATATTTTTAGATGCTTATTTTAGTTTTGTTTGTATAATATCACTTAGGCTCATAATTTTAATCCTGCAGGTTCGTCAAACATGGACAGATGAGCACATAGCATCCAAGTACTCATCACTAGATGCAGACAGCCTCCAGCAAGTAAAAACATGCATTGAAACTGGGCTAAAATGTGTGGATATCGATCAGAAGAAGAGACCTTCTATAGTTGAAATTGTTGACAAGCTCGATGGAAAGCATACTCACTGAATGGTGGACTAGTGTATGCTATGCAAGGTAAAACTGTGGCACAGAGTGAGTTCACCCGTGGTGATACACTCTAGATGCAATCATGGGCACAATAATTGTATCAATGACTAATTTATGTAATTATGAACAATATGTTGCTTGAGCAATGGCATTTGTTTTGGTTAGCAATTAGTAGTCCCCCAGTCAGTTTTATGTGTCGCTTTTGCTGTGAAATGTGAACAAAAGACATTATAATGTGACATACCTGTGAGCTCACTGTTCGTGTTATGATTTTACTCCGAATTATGTATAATCTTGTATCATTTGTATGGATATATGGATAACATAATTGTTGATCGTGGAACCCATTCAAGGATCATAGATAAAAGCATATCAAATGAACAATGTGGAGTCATTCTAATGAACATGTCTGATTGACCATGATTGACAAATTACTATGGTTTTTCAACTTCCATGTGGCTTTTATATCCTGTATTTGCCCGAGTTTCTCTTTTGGCTATCGCTAAGATCACATAGTCAGAGCCAATGCGATGCTAAGAACAATTCAAGGGAAGTGTGGAAACAAAGTACAACGAATGAGACAAAGAAGCACACACAATAGAAATTTTCTGAACTCATTGGATGGCTGAATTTAGCACCCGAAAGATTGGGTGAGTTTGGGGTCTCAGTGCAGATGGAAAATAGAAAAATCTCAAACCGTAACAATGCACTGGAGTGCTGGAATTACCAGACGGAAGCAACAGGCAGTAGCACCAGACAGAGTGACAGTAACCCGTTGAGCTCTAGGAAATCAGCAGAAGGCATTACATGCTATGGCAACTGAACAAAGCACTGGATGAACAGGGTTCAGATTTGGGATTCCTAGGATGGAACACCTACACTCCGATGAGGGAAGTTATCCTAACTGAACACCACACCTGACAGGCAGTGTTTGGCACCAGTTCTGTTAGCCCAGCTGATGGTGATGTAGCGCCAGAACATGATGAAGAAGCAATTCAAGGCAAGATGCAGAGGTTCAGGAAGCACAACACACGTGTATTTGGGCTGGATTGGATCAACGTGCTGTCTGCCAAGTGAGCCCAACCTAATGCGAAGACAGTGCTGTTGCTTGCTCCTTGTGGCTATAATAATAACAGCAGAAAACCTATTCATCTCATTATTGTCCTCCTGAAAATAAAATAACAAACCAATCTTATCTGTTACCTTGTAAAAAAAAATCAGATTTGCTTTTTTTTGCATAGCCCATATTTCATAGGGGCCAATTTGTTTGTCGCTTGTGAATTGTGACGGGCAAATGATAGAGCACGCTTCCAGCCCACTAGCCTGCTCATGGGTCTGCGGCCATGGGAGCATATCCAACGTAGGTGTTGTGTGTTCAATATATAGGATATAAATATATCGGTAATGCCATGCGACGTCCGTCCGGACGGACGGCCCCGTTGGTGGGCCGCAATGCTCACAAGGCTTTCTTATCTGCTCTTATATCCGCTTCCTTCAGGCACTGCAATTTCTTAAAAAAATGTCATCGCAGTGCCACGAGTCCGTGACTGCATTCCGCGACCGCGCTCCTCCACGTCTCCTGCCAGCCTTCTTCTCCGCTGCTGCGCATAGGCCACATCCCGCGCTGCTCTGTGCCCCACGCCATGCCCCATCCACCTTGCCCGTGAAGAAGGAGAGGCAGGGGAGGCCTGCGCCTGCACCCCCATCCAGGCACCCGTCGGCAGGAAGGGGAGGCCTATGCGCCTAGAGTGTACGCTGGACCATTGCTCTCGACATCCCCCTAACCCAAGCTTGCTGGCGACGCCGTGTTTCAAGTGTTTAAGGCGTTTCAGACTTATGTTTCAAGTGTTTCATCTGGATGTTGCAAAGTAGATCTGGGATGTTTCATATGTTGCAATGACAATATACTCATGTTTCAAGCCTATGTTCAAAGTGTTTCAATTGTTTCAGACGAACGCTTCAAGTGTTTTCATCTAGATGTTGCATATGTTTGCTATGGCTGCACGCGCATGTTTCAAGTGTTTGTTTTCATGTGTTTCAGAGACTTATGTTGCAAAAGAGGATATGGATGTTGCATATGTTGCTATGGCTATACATGCATGTTTCAAGAGCATATTTCAAATGTTTCATCTGTTTCAGTTGTATGTTGCAAATGTTTCATCTTTATGTTTCAAAAGTAGATCAAGTGTTGCACATGTTGCAACGCGACATCGGTGGTTGGCGCAATGACAGTTCTTCTTCGCAATTACCGCTGTCTTCTTTGGGGCGCCGCCGTGGTTCACGTCTTGGTCGCGCCAGCCTGGTGTTCGTTGCTTGGGCGCCGCCGTGGTTCACGTGCGGGCGTAGGGGCGTGGTTTCAGACGCTGGCGAGCGATGCGGGCGGGCGCGGGATGCGATGCAAGCGGGTGGGCGTCGGGTGCAGGCGCAGAGCTTCAACGGACGGGTGCTGCCTCCGGAGCTGAATTTGGCGCGGGGGCGAAGGGAGTTGCGTGCGTTGGGCAGGGGTGTGGGAGCTGCATCCAGATGGACGCTGCGTGCGGTGTCTGAAAATTTCAATTTACGTGTGTTTGTGGGAAAATCAGAATATTATTTGAAGATGAGAGCTATTTAATAATGGTTGAAAAATTCCCATTGGTAGTACTTTCATTTTATACTTAATAAGTCATTTAACTAAGGAATATCATTTATCAAATTTAATTTCTACTATTTTTTAAGGTATGGTGGTAATTGGTTATCACCGCCACGGAGCGTCGGTTTTCTCTGACCCCGAGCCATCTTTACCGACTTCCTCTCCCATGGTCGGTCGTAAACCGCTCGAAGGTGCACACGTGTCCATGGGCCTGTGGCATGGCTGCTGCACTGGGACTTCATGCGCTCCACCTGCCCTTGCAGAAGCTCCACCTCCACCTCGTGCTGTAGCTCCATGTACTTTGCGTTTACACTCTCCACCCGCAGGCCGCAGCCTCAGCGTGTTGACGTCCTCCTTGCCCAACTTCCCGAGCACGCCGGCCATCATTGCCTGCTCCGACAGAAGCACCTGCACCACGACGCGGAGCGGCAGCCGCTTTTCTGCGCCGCGTTCATGCGCATCTCCCGCAACAGCTTCCTGCACAGTCCACCGCCCGGCACGGCCTCTTTCGCTCGTGCATCTTTTACGGAATTTAAGTAATAAAAAATAAGATTTGGTTTCATATACTTTAGTACTATATTTCCTCACATTTCAGTAATGCCCTTTTTTATCAGAACGACTAGTGCCCGGATGTCCGGACGCCCTACAGCCGCTCTGTTTTCCTTTGGGGCCGGTCGACAACGCAGAGGACGGGTGGGGTGCGGTAGCAGTGCACAGAGGACAGAAGCACACTCGTTTCATGATGGAGCGTCTGGCCGCGGATCTCGGCGGCAAAGTTTAGCTCACCGGCGACGCGGAGCTCTGCAGCGCGTAGAACACGCTGATCGCACGGAGCTGGGCGACAATGCACAGAGAGGGCAGGGTGGGCACGCGGCGACGACGTAGAGGACGGGCGGTGGCGGTGGCGCCGCGTAGAGAGGATGTTGGCTTTCGCACGAACGCCCTTGGAGCCCACCACGGCAAACATCGGCGATGTATTGAAGCATGCCCGGATTACTATTGGAACAGGTACAATATTTTTGCTGCAACATCATCGGATGTATTACTGAAACATGCCTAGATTATTATTGATACATGTATAATATCGTTGTTGCAACATCCGTAAACACAACACTTGCAACATGCGCTTGAAGCACCTGCAACATGCTCTCGAAACACTTGAAAACAATTAAAACATAGGCTTTCAGAGCAACATCTCCTTGCAACACAACACCTGCAACATGCGCCTAAAGCACCTGCAACATGCACTCAAAACATCTGAAATATTCGAAACATAGGTTGCAACATAGGCTTTTCAGATTAACATCTCCTTCTGCTTGGACGAACGGAGGCTCATCGGCACACAGAGCACGACAGTGGTGCGTGGACCTCGCCGGTGGCACGGATATCGGTGGCGAGGATCTCGGCGGCGTGGACCTCACCGGCAATGAGGATCTCGGCTGTGTGGAACTCACAGGCGCGCAGAAGGCGACGTCGCACGAGCCGCACGGAGCTGGGCGATGACGCGCAGAGGGCAGGGTGAGGCAGGCACGATGACACAGAGGACGGGTGGGGGCGGAGGCGGCAGCGCGCAGAGGGTGGGGTGGGACTAGCTTTTTTGTGGAAACCCTAGCGAGCAAGATTGAAGATATGGTTCTCCCCGATAGGGGGTAGTTAGTTGAATGAGTCTGATGGACACTTATTTGTAATCTGTGGACAAGTGTCGGCACTTTCATTTTTTGAAAACAGATTTGCAATTTCATTTCATTTGGTTGAACTTACTTTCTTCCCCTTTTTGCGTTCGAAAGAAGGTGCTCATGCGATCCGACCCTTCCGTTCGTTAAGACCGTAGGGCCCAAGGTGTATAAGAGGGAAACTTCGATCATGCTGGCGAGTAAAGTTACCATAGCTCTCGAGGCATGGGTTTTTGCAGTCTTACCAGGCACAATCTGTTATTTGTTCCCACAAACCTTGCCACTAACCTTAACATGAGGAAGATGTCCGATGCAGCAACTGTTTTGAAAAAAGGAGGTATTTATACCTTTACCAGCCCTCGAGTGAGGTCCGACCCCCTGCGGTCTGCAGGGGTCGGATGTCACTGGAGACCGAAGAGGGGATAGCGGAATAACTCTTGTATTCACATGTATCCCTAGCTATCATTCCGTGACCGTGCGTTTGGTCTCATTGCAAGTCCAACCTTCCCCGAGCCCCCGCGCATGGTGGGGATTCGGTCAAGGGTCGGTTCGTTTGTCGTCTCGTCTGAAGTTTTCACACCGGAGGGGTTGAGGCAACATCACTTGCCTCAATGGCTTGAGTGATGTGCTTGATGAGCTCATTAACGGGGATGTTCAAATAGAATCCGGTCCCGTTGCTTGCGATAGGGTCGGCAAAGCCCTCAGGTGGCGTTCCGTTGCTCCTTAACCTACCTTCCAATAGATTCCCCCTCAATGGGGATTCTATGGGCTCGGCTAGAGGCTGGATTGAACTAGAAGGTTGAGATGACCCTATCCGGCTCTATGCGGGTTGGGTGAAGGCCGCTGAGGCTCATCTGCGTTCTCTCCCCTAGCTCTTGTTTGACATGATGTAGCCTCAGACCCTTCACGGGCCAGCCTTCGAAACCTCGGTCTCTCAATCTAGGATCAAGCGGCTCGAGCCCTGGAGCCCCTTGGGCTCTGATAGGGGTCGGTCGTGTTTCACGCGTCACCCCATCCTCGGTTTCCGCAACCGGAAGGGCTGAGCTAATGACACTTGCCTCGATGGCTCGAGTGTCGCGCTCAATGAGCTCGCTAATGGGTACGTTCAAGTGGAATCTTGGTCCATCAACCGCTGATGGGGTCGGCATAGCCCTCATATGGCATTCCACTAATTCTTAACCCGCCTCCCGGTAGATGCCCGAGCTGTTTGATAGGCTCAGGTGGCCCGTTGGCCTCTCCTTGACGGAGATTCTGTGGGTTTGGCTCGAGGTTAGAATCGAACGAGAAAAGTTAAGATGTCCCTATCCGCTTCTGAGCGGGGTCGGGCAAGGCCGCTGGGGCTCATCTTGGTTTTTCTCCCCTGGCTCTATTTGACATGAGGTGGCCTCGAGCCCTTTGTGGGCCGGCCTTCGAACCTTAGTCAGTTGCCGCTCATATCGAATGAGGCGACTACCGCTTCGCGACGTGACGCGAAGGGTTGAGATGCGGCAATTGCATATGCAATGTTTGGATGTATGGGATTAATGTGCGATACAACGAAAATGAAAGCGAGGGTCGGTGATGTTACCTTGGTGGCATGAGCGACGAGAAGTTCTTACCGGACATTTCCGTGCGGGGTTTGGGTCCGACGTTTGCGACGGGGCCGGTGTAACCTGCACGCGCATCGCAATTTTTTATTTCTGTCTCTCGGCGGCGATCCGAGCCGTTCGATTGACTTGGGCGACCTGATAGCTTCTCCTTGAAGGAGATTCTGCAGGCAGACCCCTTCGAACCCT